TGCCACTGTGGATGCCCGCTGAATGCCATGTGGCTTCCACATCACTGCCGCTTCATAGCGGCCCGCTGACTGCCAGTTAAAGCAGCCCGCTTAATGCCATCTAAAGGATCCCGCCCACTGCCGCTTATAATAGCCCGCTCAATGCCATTTATAGTAGCCCGCCCACTGCCGCTTATATTAGCCCGCTCAGTGCCGCTTACCGCACTCTCTCCTTTTCAGGATCCACTACTCCTTCTGTACTTGCACTATAAACAAGCTGGGCATCATCTTTTATTAATCAGTTGCCCGAAAGAATGCGATACTTCCAGTAATTTAGCATAATGCAATAAGGCACATAACAATAACTCAACGAGGAACAGATACAGAGGAAAGAAATCAACTCAAAAGATCATTTAGAGTGTCTTGATACACGTACACGTAACGATACCTCAACAGCGAACAAGGTAAAGATGAACGAAATGAGCTTACATTAATTGCCAACCTATACTGCAACATAACAGGTAACAGCAAATCAACGAACAAGATGCAGATAAACGAGATAAATTCAAAATGAAAGATCAAGGCATTGAGGAGAAATGAAGATGTCCATGCGGGAAGAGGTTTGAGGTGTTCTGCTCCAAACAAGATAATCAAGACCAACCATTTGATAGATTTTTAATGCATACCTTGATCGATTCGACAGCTTACTCAAGCGACAATGCGAGGTATGCCTGGTTTTGCTTCTTTACGTTTTGCTTTCTCTTCTTTTTTACTTCAACCAAAGTTTAGACTGGGTATCGCCTAAGCCGATCAAATCCATCGCAAAATCTGAAGTCAGAGTCAGTGCAATGCTGATGTCTGCGCAGTCCTTGGTATAACATCTACCCAAGAGTCTCAATTCCATGCCGCCGGTAGATATTACAGGTTGTGTTCTCTGCCAGCCTTGCAATGACGTTATGGCGTATTCTTAGATTTGCTGAGAAGGCTTCGTCCGCTGCAAGTCGTTCAAGATAAGACGTATTGCGCATGCAGAGTGACGTAATCCTGCTAGAAGATGAAGCGAAGGTGCTTCCGAAGTGTTGATAGGACGGTTCCGTGATTTTGAAGTTGTAGTGCACCGCAGTCTAAATTCCACCTAAAAGTCTCACCTGCAGAGTAATATTACAGTCAGTGACAATTACGCTTATGAATGGTTGTGCTTCATCTGTCTTCCAAGTCCCCGTCAGATGTTTAGAGACATAAAACGTGCTTACCGATTCGTTATTCTTGCATTGTATGACTGCGATTCAAATGCATGTGCGCTAATCGTATTTCGCAACCCATATCTCGCTCTAGTAGAAATCTGGATTATCGCAGAAACAAAAGCAGTAATATACCATCAAGATGTGGGCAACGGATCTTACAATTAGCATCGTATGGTCAGCCGTAAGTAAATTTACGAAAAAGTTGTGGTTAAGCCTTTGCACCCGAAAAGCAGCGTCAGAGTTGACATATTCCTGAGAGATTCACGATCTTTACACCCAAGGATCTTCAATCTTTACCTACATACAGCTTTGTTGAAAGAATGATTTCGCTTTGTTCAAGATCACAGATGCAGCATACTTCAGATCAAGCGTTGCTCAGTGTATGCAGTCGTATAGCGTCCTAGGTTCCTTGCAGATTGTCAAGAATTCAACCTGATACGATCTTTGTTCAAGATCTCCTATGGTAGCCGTTGTGAAAGTGCGACTTAGTATGGCTTAACAGGCGAGCACAAATTTCGACTTCATTTTCTACACTTAGATGTTCGTTGCAATCATCGTTCTTCTTTACTATAAGTCCTTTCCTTATGCCAAACATCTGAACGTTTTATAGACTTACTTTTATAGACTTATAGACTTAGAAGTAGCTTAAGAAAATGCTGACATGGTGCCTGTGGCTGGACGACGGGGGCAGCAGCAAGTTTTGAACGTGCAGCTGTCCCTTTCCTCATCAATAATTGCCCGATAAGCTCTCAGATTTTTTGGTAGAACGATACCCGAAAGAAAGGCTGGCAAAGGCGGCTCGCATGTGTGCGACGTTGCCTTCATCGCTGCTTATTGGTCCAGGCGTATTTACAAGGAGTTGTGAACTTTATTCTAGTAAAGGCGTATAAAAAATCTGTAGGTTGTTGATTTGTTGTGAATTGCTTTGAATAGTAGTCAGGGAAGCTCTATATGTTTAGCGAAGTCCTAGTTTTTTAACAAGTTGACGACCGGGCCATTTTTGACCACATCAAAAGGGACTGATGATCTACGGCTGCGGTTTAGACCGTTTAACAGCTACCGCAATGCCGTGTGTTCTATATGACAACCAGGCCACCAGTGTTATCACTGCATAGTAGTTACCTGAGAACTTTTCGTTTACACATGATAAATTGATGCACGAAATGCTCAAAGGTGGTCAGGGCGTGCATACGCGCGGATGCACACTCGTCAACGTGTTAATGAGATGTTGTTGTGGTATATCTGATTCCCGCCATGAATTGCGAAATACGATTAGCGCACATGCATTTGAATCGCAGTCATACAATGCAAGAATAACGAATCGGTAAGCACGTTTTATGTCTCTAAACATCTGACGGGGACTTGGAAGATAGATGAAACACAACCATACCAAGTACTGTGCAGACATTAGCACTGCACTAACTCTGACTTCAGATTTTGCTTTGGATTTGATCGGCTTAGGCGATACCCAGTCTAAACTTTGGTTGAAGTAAAAATCAGTAAACATTATGCAGGAGGGATATAAGATCTTATGAATACGACATGGAAAAAAAGTGGCTGTCACACGCGGTGAGTAGTTGTCGAAAAATTCTTGAACTCTCATAATTCTGCAAAAAGCGACTAAGTTTATTTTCAGAAAAGGAGAAGAACAGCACCAGAAATTAACCGAGTGATGGAATTGAGAGAACTGCAGAACCAAAACCAGGCATACCTCGCATTGTCGCTTGAGTAAGCTGTCGAATCGATTAAGGTATGCATTAAAAATCTGTCAAATGGTTAATCCTGATTATTTTGTTTGGAGCAGAACATCTTAAACCTCTTCCCGCATGGACATGGTAAAGTGACATGACCAGTAATGTACAATCTCTACCCTTTCATCGTCAACTTGTTGTTGGCTCAACGAAGAAGAAGTTAAATGCTCAAAATAACACTGCACTGTACTCTTCGCTCATGTTTTCTTGCCAGGACCCCACAACTTAGTATGGCAACGATTCTGCGAAAGTTGAGGCAGGACCTACAAGTTATATGCTTTGATAATTCAAAAATATGTTGTTTAGGCGAACCATGAGGAAGAAGCTACGATCCTAATGAGATCGTATGCTGCTCGATAAAGCCGACTCCAGATGCAGCACTAAGATGCTACCGGAAGCACGAAACAGCTTCAAAAGTTTAGCAAAAGAATATTCAATGCTATATTAGAATGAGCAAAGAAAAAAAGAAAACACTACGTGGGCGCAAATATAACTGGAATCGACTGGTACTAATGAAGGATACAGTGGCAAAAAAAGACGAACCTGAAGAACAGGTGGTACGACGCGCTATTTCCCAGATCACCAAACCAATTGCGTCTTGTGAAGTCTCTACTTCATGTGACCATGAGGCTTCATCGCGTGAAGAGAAGATTTTCACAGCAACCACGTCACCTTTCCAAGCTCCCAACCAAACCTTAAATTAAGTGAGACAGATAGATAATTCTCCACAGCATGTAGCATCAAGCGATCTTACGGGAAGGATACTTGGTCGAAGTGGCGTTTCATTATGAAATATATACTGTCTTATATAGCTTTGGACGCTGATTCCGAATCTGTCTGCAAAGCTCTACTGAAAGAAGTCATGGGAATTTCTTGGAGCAAAAATTTGTACGAGCGACTACCATAAAATTATTCAAAGTGCTGTCTATGAGCTCAAATGGGGCTATCACTACCGCTCCCTACTCACTATCCTTTCATCAACAGAAGTTGGATTGCAGGTGCAGATGTAGTAGTTGTTTGTGACATCGTTTCAATCATTGGCACCTCATCTTCTCTGCTGTAAAAATACAGTCTTTAGCAAGACATTAAATCTTATATATAAAGCTGAATGTCTGTTTGTCTGTCTGTATGTCTGTCTGTATGTCTCTCTGTCTGTATGTCTGTGTGTACGTATGTTCCGAATAGAAAATTCCATTTCTGAACCGATCCGGACCAAACTTGGCACACATACACTTCGGGCCCCGGCGGGTGTCATAGGCTACTTTTCGTCATCGATCGATATCGATTTTATCGATTTTTATCGATTTTTTTGCTGAGTTCACCTACGGGGCTGGGAGTTGGCACAGGGGGGTAATCGAGCATGGGGATTCCGAATACAATATTGGTTTTCAGGATTATCGATTACTTTTATCGATTTTATCGATTTTTTTGCAAAGTTTGAGCTAGGGGGCTGGGAGTTGGCACAGGGGGGTAATCGAGCATGCTGATCATCCCCAAGGGGAGTGATGAGCATGCTCGATTACACCCCTGTGCCAAATTCCAGCCCCCTAGCTCAAATTTTCAAAAAATCGATAAAATCGATAAAAGTAATGGACGATCTTGAAAACTAATATTGTATTCGTAATCTGCATGCTCGATTACCCCCTGTGCCAACTCCCAGCCCCGTAGCTCAAACTTTGCAAAAAAATCGATAAAATCGATAAAAGTAATCGATAATCCTGAAAACCATTATTGTATTCGGAATCCCCATGCTCACTTCCCCCCCTGTGCCAACTCCTAGCCCTGTAGGTGAACTCTGCAAAAAACTCGATAAAAATCGGTAAAATCGACATCGATCGATAACGAAAAGTGGACTGTGACACCCGCCGGGGCCTGAAGTGTATGTGTGCCAAGTTTGGTCCGGATACGGCGGAGCCGGGTAAGCCAGCTAGTTATCAATAAAGCTGCTACGAGACTTACGGAGAAATGTGATTTAGCGCAGTAGACATAGCGGGACCCAAGCGAAGATATTTGCGCAATATAGCAGCTATTCTTTGATTCCGGAGCAGGGCCAGAGCAGCAGCGCCAAAGACCGCCAACTGAAACATATTTCAAAAGCAAAACATTAGCAACAAAAAAGAAAGGAAGGGTTTTTGAGATGATTCTATGAGAAGACACCAGTGGCGGTCAAACGATTTCGTTCGGGCGGGGGAGAGGAGAACCGACAAAACTTTTTTATCAATTTAAGGTGCGTGGCGTTAGCCACGCACTCCGATAAATTTTTTTTGGATTCTTCCCAAGATTTCTGCGGGCCCACAAACGCGGGGTTTTAGAAAAGGGGGCTGCTGCCACCCAAAAAAAAACTTTTCACAAGGCTAGTTTAAGTTTCTGAATCAATGATTTACGAGTAATAACAAGTCACTTGCATTTTTCTATAACCGAATTGTCCTAACTTCATGATTGAGTTTTTTTGACTTTGATATTCAACGCCATAATAAGCTTTGCTCTTCTCTGCAAGTATGCGTGATAGATAGATAGAATGGAGTTAAAACGAATCTAGATTCTTCAGTGAAGCGTAGACTTTGACGGTCATTCTGCACACTTCGCAAACTTGAGATCATATTTCGTTGCATGCCGTATCAATCTGGTCAGCACTTTATGATCAAAACAGCTTTACGGCCCTGGCCAGACTTCGCTCAAAAGCGCCCAAACGCGCTCAAAAGCGCCCAAAAGCGCGCAAAAGCGCTCAAAAGCGTGCAAAAGCGCCCAAACTTCTCCAACCTCTCCTCACTCTCTCTCTCTCATCTCTACTCAGACGAGAAAGTGAAGAGACGCCAGAGAAATTTGGGCGCTTTTGCGCGAAGTCTGGCCAGGGCCTTCCAGCAAGCGAGCACGGTGTAGTCACAAGGATTATTTGGTAAAACTTACAGTTAATAGTGACCCAAATCAGTATAAATAGTTTCACAAATCAGTATAATTTTGAATTTCGCTAAAGCTTTACATATAGGCTTTACATATCATTCAATATACTGCCACTCAATATGCATAGGGCTTTTTTGATGAAGTTATGGTAGGTCTCACGGTAAGAGTCGCTAAATTTATTTGGCACGCGATGGAAACTGAACGACACGCTGCTTCATATGAGGAAAAAAAAAGTAATTCGAGATGAGAAGTTTGTCAACACTCTATTGGCCATTCCATGAAATTCCTTCAAGCGACAAGAAAGAGGTAACTTACAATCATGGATAGCCTCTAGAATATTAACTTACCCCATAGACATATGGTTATCATGCTCTTCATCGTAGACCTTGAAACAGCGACCACGCTTTGCTCTGCATTTACCCTGTTCGTGAAAAAACTGACTAATAAATAGACAGTTTACAGAAAGCTTACCTTGTAAGATTCTCCAAGAAGATGAACCAATTTGTTATCGCATAAAGCACCATTACAGTTACAGATCAGATCTGACTCGTGCACTTCTTCATCAGGGCCTATGGAATGAGGGTGCAAACAGTTGAAAAAACACGCACAAGGAATACTTACCAAATATATGTGATTTCAACTTTTGCAAAATCGTCTTTCCTCGTGCGATTCTTTCGACTGTCATCGGAGAGACAGTATTCGATACGTTATCCATCAACATCAGTGGAGAAACAGTAGCCTCATAAGCGTCAAGAACGCTCGAGTATGTCATCTCTTCAGCCCGTGATGTGCAAAATAAACCTGAAATGACTTAAAAAAGATGGAAAGATGATTATTTGGATTGCACTAACATGGAAAAAGAAGAATGGCAAAACGACAGACAACAGACAACGACACACATAAATGTTTATCGGAAGAGAGCTCAGAGGCAGCTGGCTTCGCGCAACGCATCGCTTATCGCTTTTGCTGCGAGAGACAGGATTATAAATGTCATACCGACATCGTTTTTGACTTAGGCGTCAAAAAATAAAAAGTGCGTAACGTCCGCAGAGTACGGACTATACATTTAATTTGACGCCTAATATCAGAAAAATGAGAATTCCTTATTTCTGGCCGTCTTTTCGGCTCCATGTCAGGAGTCACGCCGCGCGCCGCGCCGCTTCGCCGCGAACGTCGCGTCTAAATTTTGTACCCCACAAAACTGCCCGGTGCTAAAGTGGCACGGCGCCAGTCTAGGGTGGTGGGGGGTGGGGGCAGATACATGACTCGTGTCATAAGTAAGACTGCGCCAGGAGTGCTGGCTTCTGTTTTGCTGACATCGCTTGCGGCACCGCTTCGCGAAAAATTCGCGCCGACCGTGACTCCTGACCGTTCCCCGTCTTTTCGACTCGATTGTATTATAGAACCCAACAGGCATATGCTGAAACTGAGACTTCCAAAAGAACTCCAAAGTGAAGTTTAGTAATCACAGTGAACCAATCACGGCCAAAATTGGGATTTATATGTTTTCGAGGTCCTTCCGTCCAGTAGCAATGTCTGTTTTGCGTAAAAGGTCAGGAGTTACGAAGAGACACAAAAGCTACAAACAATTTCTGAAAATCAGAATCCAACGGTTAGAACTACAGAACCTTTCAAAATTATCTGTGGGTGAAACTAGAAACTTGCCTGTATTTGATCCTAGTTGTGCATGTATTACGGTCTCCCCTTCCCCGTGTTGCATGGTTCTGACCTCTTAAAGGTTTTCTTCGGGCGAAATGCTGCAGGCGCACCTGTATCTCATTCAGACATAATCAGTTGACTGGTACTTCGGAGATGCCTCATGATTACCCATAGATCCATTATCAAGCAAAACTTATTTACCGTCTTGTTGGCTACAAGCGGTGCACCTGTTATTGCTAGGTCACTGATGTCGTACGCATATTATGTGTACTACGAATATCGAAATAAAAGAACATGTGATTTTGGCGTGAGCTCATTGTTTAACCTTCACCTTGAAGATTTTGCTGGAATTGAACTTGGATTTTGCAAAGTTGTTTGAAGAAATGCTTCTCGTTTTTTGTTTTTGCCAATCTTAGCTAGAAAAAGAACAACATCGAAAACGTATAAATCCCAATTCTGGCCATGAATGGTCCACTGAAGTTCCTGAGCTTCAACCTGGAATACTTTTTTGAACCCTCACTTTTAGCATTTGAAATCTCACTATCAGCTTTCAGCAAACAGACATTGCTTCTGGACGGAAGGACCTCGAAAACATATAAATCCCAATTTTAGCCGTGATTGGTTCTTTGTGATTACTGAACTTCACTTTGGAGTACTTTTTGAAATCTCAGTTTCAGCGTATGCACTGCGGGCTACCCTGGTTTCCGTGGTTGGCGAGAGACAAACTCAGTAAATATTTTTAGCGAAATTTGCGCAGTTACAGCGCTACGCAATCTCTCTACGCTTGGTTTTGACTACTGTGCCAAGTCGATGACCCGTTCGGTTCTATAATGCAGTCGCGTCGAAAAGACGGTCGGAAATAAGAGATTCTCATTTTTCTGATAATAGGCGTCAATTCAAATGCAATGTCCGTACTCTGCGGTTCTTACGCACTTTTTATTTTTTGACGCCTAAGTCAAAAACGATGTTGGTTTGACTTTTATAATCCTGTCTGCGAGAGCGTGTTTTCGCGCACGGAAACGTCCCCTGTTATTTGTGACCATGAAGTAATTCGCGTTTAATGCAGCCAAGTCCGGCGCTTTGCAGGAGGCGAAGGTCAGAACGAAAGTCCTGCCAGGGTTTGAGTGCTGGGACCCTATGTCTGTAGTGGAAAAGTTTATCAGAGGGTGTTGTAATTGTCGTTTGTTCACCTATTCATCATCCATCTGTCGATTCGCATGAGATTCTATAAGTTCGACTAGCCTCATACACATACGCTCAAGTCAAAAAACCATCGGTATCATCAATAGCTACTCTCCAGTCAGCAGCCAATGGATCACAGTCAAACGCTTTCGACGAAGATATGGCCGGCTACAATGAAGAGTTATGCACGGTTTTGCTGTGGTAGATATATCAACGCAGAAATCACGATGCCACTACAAGAGGAGGCGCTATTCCAGTATCGTCCGGAATTCTAGACGAATTTCGCTTGAAGACCCAACTAGCATGCACATGCATCGTGAGTATAACTTACATGGAGATAAAATAACCTATCTTCTGTACATTCAAATCGTGCCTACAATGAGTTACGGACAGCTGAAATATTGCCAAATCGCGTCGCGACTGAAATCGCGTAAAGTATGCCCGGCCCCTTATGCAATAACCATCAAAAGCAAACGAAAGTTATGGTAACTAAGCTTCAGCCTCCAATGTCTTCAAAGTTCAAACAATTCAAACTGGAGAAAGTACGGCACCCACTGTCGTGGAGAGGACATATACAGAGAAGAAGCTAACAAAAGAAATTCTGTCCAAACTACACACCGCGACCTCAACAAAAGAGAATAATGGTGCCATATTTGCTAAGCGAGATTACTGAATGCAATAGAGAGAGAAAATCTGTGGGAAAGCAAATGAGATACATATAAGGATGAGATTAAGACGATAAGCTCGGATACTGACGGACGCACAGGAAGAATCGATGACTAATGATGCCGTGCTCTTTCTTGCAAAAGACACGTATCTACATGTACACAGATGAGCACTGCACAAATCAATCGATACCAGCCAGATACATGTTATCGGTGCCCGCTCATAGCATCTTCGCGATCCGCTCACAAAAACCTTTCTTTCGCAACCCCATCGCTTCCTGGTCGTTGCCAACTAGCTGTTATCGCTGCCTTGTCGTCGCATTCTGGGTGCTTTTGTAGCAATAACGCGCTCTGTAGTTATTTTCTGACTCACGGAAGATTATGGCAGCCCGCTGATAGCCTGTCGCTGCCCGCTCGCTACTTTTTCCGAGTTATCGCCGCCCGCCAACTGAAACTGCTTGCTATCGCTGCCCGCTGAGAGTTTCCAATTGTCTGAGTAGTGACTTTCGTCGTAGGACGTACGGTTGTAGTGCGAACAGGGGTTGTTGTTACCTTCGGTTGTGTCGCCGGGGTAGTAGTAGGTGTGGTTATGGTTGTTATGTGAAGTTCAATGGGATCCAGTGATTTTGCCTTAGAGATGCTCTGCACGTAAGATGGTATAACCACAGGCGGCTTGGTCACGGCAGGTGGTGTAATTGTAGGCCTTGGGGTCGTCGCTGTGGTTGCAGTCTTCTTGGGTGGCGGGTTGGTGGCTGGGAATGTCGTGGTTGATGGCGGAGGTTTCGTTGTGGACTGGTTAGTAGAAGTGCTGGTAGTTGATCGCTCTGTTTGTGCGTATGGGTCCGCTTCTATCTGATTGGTGACATTCACCTTACTCAAGTATTCTATTCGGAAGAATGGCGCAGGCTTACTCTTAAGTTTGATTGCGTCCATGTCAATCTCCATCTGTATATTCCCAAATTCTTGTGATAGTTAGTCGTCGAACACATCGGTGATACCGAGTTGCAGGTCTTGGAGTAGTGCGTGCTCGGCGTAGTTTAGGGGTCTTTTGGTCTCAATGGCTTGTAGCCAGGCTATCTGGCGGTACCGATATTCGGCGTATCGCATGGTACGAAGAACGTTCTTACGTATGTCTTCGATGGCATACATGCGGGCTCTGCGGAGGAAATCGGCGTTGGTAATGTTCCAAAGTTTGATTTCTCTTAGTAGAAGAACATGGTAATTGGTTGAGCCTCAAATGGTGGTGTCTCCTCGGTATCTGTGATACCGAAGATCCTTTGAGCTATCGGAAGAGTTCGGCCGGTATGAGTTCGTAGCGTGATTGTCTGTTTTCGGTGTCAACGAGGTATTTAACTTCACGCTTCGTTTTGAACGTTGGTGAGGATTCCAAAATAAAATCTTGGACCATAGTATTGGGTGGAATATTCGGGAAGGAAATGATGTGATTGGATGTGGTCAGATAGCTATTACTGATACTGCAATGTCGTAATAATTGCGAGCGGAGTAGGTGGTCACTACTGAATTCAAATGCTAGCTCGTGTTCAGGTATGAGGATGTATTTCTTGCTGACCAATGCATCGTAGCTACCTATGAAGTTGAATCTACGCCATAAGACAACTTCTACGGGTTTCCAGATCATTATCTCGTTGGGTGTTAGACAGCTACCGTCGGGGAAGAAACAATTGTTCAGATTCCCCAGGGTGCTGAGCATAGTTTCGCCGTTTATGGAGGCAATCTGTCCTTCCTCGATTGAATATAGATTACGCAAGTACAGATTTGTTCCCCAAAGAGGGAGAGACGCTTTTTCGTCTTCTATCTCTTTGGTTATTTTGAGACCAGGAGAAACTTCGGCGAGAGGGTGTCCATGGATGAAATTGGTGGTCCTTGCTAATTCGCATTCTTCACGTGAGATGGATAGGCGCTGGCGTCCTACTACGGTGCGGCTGGTTCTCATGTAGAGGAGATTGTGTATAGAGACTTTTATTACGTCTCGATAGCATTTGTGGGCAGTCATTTGTAAAGGTTTGTTGCTTTCGCCAAATAACTGTATTTGTGTTTCAATCATAGGCTCTTCTGGGGTTACGCTGCATTGCACTAATTTGGGCAGTGAGAGTATATTAGGGAATGAACTACTTCCGCATATCTGGAAAGATGTTGTAGGTGTTAGCAGACATGCTGCTATGATGACTATTATGCAGAGGAAGTTAACATTCTGCGCAGGTGCAGGAAGTCGGTTTGATGGCTGATAGTTTTGATAGTAGGCCGGGGGATTCGCTATGGCTGGGGCGAAAGGTTGATTCGGATTTACGTAAGGTATTGGCTGAGTGTATGCAGGATATGGTGTGTATGGCTGGTTGAAGTATCGGAATGGCGTGTTAGGTGGGCGGCGGTCCCAGAATCGAGTATTTGGAAATAGTCTTCTAGGAACGAAACGTAACTGGCGCGGGGGATTGACTCGTAATGCTGGTCTTGGACGATACGGTGTTACTGTTCGTCTTTGCTGGAAATTGGGGTTTTGGCGCGGAGTAGGTTGAAATCGCACTACCGGGCGAGGGCGTTCTCGTGATGGACTTCTAGTTCGATTTCGGTTGACTTGCTGAAGGTTATTGACCTGTTCGGTCAGTTCCTCCACTTTCTGGTCGAGCACTAGCGAATTTATGCTTTCCAAAATTTCCTTCTCTTCGCGATACTCTTGTTCGAGGATTCTTTGTTCTTTCTCTGCATTAGCGAGAGCAGTCTCAAAGTCGGGTGGGTCGGGAAGTCTTCGCACTGCCCTACGAATGTCGGGTTGCAACCCTTTTATGAAGAAGTCTATGGCGAGTTTATTGGGTATCTTTTTATCTTCGCCTTGGTATGCTACCTTGGTCTTTGCTAAAACCTTCTTCGCAAATTCGCCTACTGAATCTTTTCCCTGTCTCAGGTGGTGCAGCTCATCACGAACGTTACTTAGCATAGCCTGGTTCTTGAATTTGGTTGCTAATGCTTTGGTCATTGCTTGCCAGGTGGCTCTTTCTGCGGGTTTCAGGGTTTGGAATTTAACTTTAGCTCCGCCTGCTAAGAAAAGGGGCAAGAGACTTTTTGCATAAACGTGAGGAATGTGTAAGCTATCTACTAACTCCCGGTAATCCTCTAAGAATTCTTCAAATGTTTTGTCGGAGTCGCCGGTGAATCTTCCTAAGAGCGTTCCTAGAAGTTTGCTTGACGCGTATAGGTCGGGTGGGTTGTAGGGGGCAGCTTCGTCTTGAGCCTGCTGACCTCCATTGTTATTATTGTTACCGTTTCCACCGTTACCTCCGTTACCTCCGCCGTTACCTCCGTTGTCTTCCTCAGACATTTTGCGTTGTTTCTTCGCTGTATCTAAGGCTGCACTTAATCCTTGGAGTAGTTTGGTAAAAGCGCTTTCTGTTTTCTTTTCTTCTTCTTCTAAGCTTCCCGGCTTGGGTGTTGCTGGGGTTGTTGCTGGGGTTACGTAACCAGATACGTCTGGCTAGTTAAGGCTGTTCGCTTGTTCCTACTTCGCTAGCTTGGTGGTCGCCGAATTCTTCTTGACTAGTGGACGGTAAGTCGCGCGGGTCTACTGTGCTAGTGGAAGGCTGGTCGCTAGGTTCTACTCTACGTCTAGAAGTTGTTGGAGTTTCCTCCGCTTTTGCAGATGATTGCTGCTGTCTACGCTCAGCGAGTCTTGCGAGAATTGCTGCTCTTCTTTCGTCAAATCTTTTAAGCCTTTCGGACTTACTTAATTCTTCACGTACTTTGGGTTTCTGTTCCTTGGGAGGAATTTTGGTGATCAGTCAAAATGTTTTCCTAAGTGTCAGTAACTAATGTGCGTGTGCGTATTTTTTTTCCAAGGGGAGTTAGGGAGTCTGATTTTTCCTCTTTGAAGGTGGATAGAGAGCAACAAGGTTAAGTTCTCAACAACACTTTACACAAGAGAACGGACAAGGCGAAAGTTCTCTTCTTATTTTGCGAAGGTATGTTGAGTGTAAGTGTTCTGATACTTACTTCAGTGGCTGAGTTGGATGGCTGTTGAATGAATAGATTGATAGTTGGATAACGGTAGTTGAGAATGCGAGGTAGGCTATGGTAATGCTGAAGTAGCAAGCTGTCGGAGTGGGTGCTCTGGCAACTATGGACCGTGAGTGAGCTTGACGAGTATATATATATATATATATATATATATATATCGTACGGCTGGGGCGTGTCTTCCCTGGTTTTTAGCCTTTCTCAGAATTACTACGCAGGGCAGCTGGCTTAAGCGCGTGGACGATGGCCTTTGCCTCTTCCCCGTGACTGGCTGAGTTGGTCTTTACAAGACTAATGAGGTTTCTGAGAAGCGAGCTTCCGCGTAGGCTGGTCGGCCAAAAACTGGGTGGTCGAGCAGCAAGACTAATGAGCGCGCGGCGACTTGACCTGCGGTCTTTTTCGCGCTGCTGATTAGTGGCGCGCGGCGAGGCATAGTTAATGAGGCTCGCAAGAGTAGTTGCGGATTACGGTAGCTGCGGATGGCAACGCGGAAGTAGATTTTTTGCGAATATAAATTCGGCAATGTATAAGCTCGTATAAAAAGTAATTGTTGCACTGTTTCGGAAGCTAGCTATTAGATGAGAGACTGATATTCGAGTATGACACAAGTAGGACTTGCACGTTGGTTAAAATTGGTAATTTGACTCGAGAGCTATCCTAGGAGTTCATTTGGGATAATCATGATTGTGGCTGCATATGTGTGATAGGAGAGCGTATGCAAGTAATGTTTTTTTAGTAGTCAGCCCTGCTCGGGTTTTAGAACCAGTGTAAGATTACTTTTGTTATATTGTCTGCTGCCCTCAATAATCGTCTAGAAATCGCTGTCATAGTTGTCGAGGCCGTAGTAGCGGTGGCAGTCGGCACAGCAATCCGTTAGAGATTCGCATCGGTGTATTTGGAAGTGAGGGTGGTAGTTGGGCTGATATGGCAGAGAGTCTGAAGAGGAGTACGTGTAGTAGGTGTTATCCGACGAGTACTCTTTGTTGTCGTTGGGTAGTTGTACCCGGGGGCGTCTTATATATCTTTTCCCCTCTGGTCTTTTCGCTATCATTTGTTTATCTTCTTCGGTAAAGGTGGTGTCCAGGGGATCAGCAGCCATATGTATTTGCTCCATGGTTAAGAATACTTCATTGCCTTGTTGTCCAAGCTTCGCTACCGAGGCATCTCGTCTTTTTGGCAATTCGGAGAAGGCCTCATATGCATGGTTGAGCACCGTCGTTCCTACGGGGCAGGCATCGCAATAACAGAAATGCTTACTGATAGGGACCGGTAGTAGCGTGTATTCATTTCGTCCAGATAGACTCCGGTATGTCCGTCGAAGGCTCGAATGGCTCTTTCCAGAATGTCAGGCAGCGAGCTGTTCATGAGTTCTGCGGGAATCCTGTGACATTTGTCGTCATGAATTATTTCCATTATCGAGCTGAGACGGAGGATGTTGGACTTCTGTTGTGTTTTCCACATATCGCGGGGCGCTTTTCCGTAGTAGCTTTGGTGTCTCATTTTGTAATCGTCTTCGAGGAGCGCCTTGTGGATTTTCGCAATTAACGTTTGAGCATTCATTTTAGAGCTAGTTGTAAGGTTGAGTAGTTCTGTAATTAAAAGGGAGGATTAGCTACACGACACGAGAAGGATTGGCGAATGAGGAAGAGATTGTGTGAAGAGGAAGGAGCGAGGTCGTAATATAGTTTTGGCGAGAGGTGTGCTTCTATTGGGTAGCCTATGGTTATCATGTGTTAAAAATATTCTGCGCTTTATTAATGCGATCACTTGATGATGAGTTAATTTTATACGCAAGGGTGTCGCTAGTTACCTGGCCAGGCTTTTCCTACGCTCAGGAAAGGTGTAAATATGTGGAGCAGAACCTCCTGTCACATAATATTCATGTTGGCCTTGCGATAAAAGGGCGTAGTTGTGACATGCGC